TTTTTGCGATGCAAATCAAGAAAAAAATATTTTTATTTTCATTTTTCATAATTTTTGTATGTAATTTTTTTTTTCTGTAATTTTTTTTTGAGAAATTCCGCAAATACATTATAAATTTTCCATTTAGTTTGTAATTTTTGTATAGTGCTCATTAAATTTATTTCTTAGTTATTCAATTTTTCAATTGGAAATTTAAATTTCAAGTATTTCAATTAGATTTAACAATTTTCCATTTAATTTAATTCATCTAGAGTAATAATTAAAATTTATATCACCATATTACACATACTTGCTAGAATAATTTCAATTTGTTGCCCAATATATTAAATAACTCAAACATTAAAAGCCATGGTATTAAAAAGTTTAACAACTCCCTAAATTCTATTCTATTCTATTATTCTATTCTATTCTATTTCTATTTCTCAATTTTCTCTCAGGTCATTTTAAATTTTTTTTGTCTCATCCGAAATGTATGCAATTTTTGAAATTATTTGGAATTTGAGTTCAAGTAATTTTAATGATTTAGTAATTGTTTTTAAATGCAGTATTTTCTTTTGTTGAATGGAAAAATGCTACATTACAAACCTTTGGTTTGAATCAACTTTATTAAATTATCTTCTTTAAAATAATTATAAATAATAAATAATAAGTAAAATTTTATTTTTACGCACGTAGTTTTATTTACGTCACATCCTTATTAAAATTTTTTATTTTATACTCTTTTCTATTTATATTATAATAATATTAAATTTAATTTTGTTGAAAAAAAAAACAACCGAAATGAAAAAAAAACTTACCAATTTCTAGTATTCCAATTATTTTGTTTTTTGTTGGGTACCTATGCGTTTCTTTTTTTTTTTTGTTTTTGTTATCTATATTCTATGAAAAATCAACAAATAACAATATCAATTTCAAGGATAAATATTTTAATATACACGTGGATGATTTTCTTAACTGAAATTACAAAATATTCTTATGAATTTAAAACAAAATATGATTGTCTAAAAGACAAAAAAAATAATTTTCGTCTTTTTAAAATTACAAAGTTATAACATTTCACAGTAGAGTCCTGGTAAGAAAAATATTTGTAATGTAAATTTGAGTTTGTCAAAAACTGTAATAAAATTAGTGAAACCAATTATACATTTTAAATTAGGAGCAAAACGACACACTTACTGTTAAAAATTTTAAAGGAAATCTTGGAAAATTTAAAATATTTTTAAAATTTTATAGATTGCAATTACGTATTTTAAAATCATCTTGATTATTATTGAAATTCTAATTTGAAATAAAAGTATTAGGTATTAAAAATTTTTAAATTTCCTGCTCACAATTCAATAGCGATTTAATTTTTCAATTATTTAACAACTACAATAATTGTAGTCCAGTACTTTGAACATTTCGCAAATATCAGCATTATTGTCTAGTTTTATTGAAAATTTTAGTATTTATCTAAAAATACTGCAAAAAAAATATATGATAGTATGCAAAATGTATTTGAAATGAGTCCCTGAAACTTTTACCAAATATTTCAAGAAATTTTATTATCAAAATAATTATTATCTCATTTCTATATATGTATATACATAGATATAAGGGAACTTCTGTTTTCTTTTGTTTTAAAAGATTTCCTATAAATAGGTGTAAAAATAAAAGTTCGTATCTCTTTTGGAAATGACGTTCTGTTTATATTAAAGAAAAAAAAAAAATTTCATCATATTTTCAATCTATAATAATCTCCAATTTCTAATAGTATAATGGGTTTAAATATACATATATGCAATTATATAAAAAATACATAGAAAAATACATGTATGTACGTATGTGAATTTTTCAATATATAGTAATTCTTGTATTAAATTTACATTGTATTTTACATTTAATTTTTCAATACACTATATAACATCACATCTGTCGAATATTCAAAAGTTTTATGATATAAAGGTATATTACAAAAATAAATATGTATATATGCATTTTTTCATTTTTTGGACAAAGTCGGATTTGTTGAAAATGCGAAGCAAATCTCTTATCCAAATGAAATCGCTCTCTATTAAAAGATTGTTTAAAAGTAGTTAGAATATTTTGAAAGCGGACAAATGAACGATTGTAAAATGGTTTTTGGAAATATTGTTTTAGCAATATTGTCTCAAGAACCCAGTTTTTGATCAATCATAAAATTACGGCATAGAACGAATAAAAACAAAATATATAACCTATATTTGAGATTCTTAAAATCAGCTTTATTTATAACTTGAAAGTTTTTCTTTTTTTACTCCTAATCAATATGAAAATTATTTTAGAATCTTCCTCACAAAATACATTGTAAATTAATTTTTGTTTAACTAAGTATTGGAGATTAAAATTAAAACATCTATAGACATACGTACCTATCTATTCTCTATATATTTAAACAAAATTTACTTAAAATCATTTCTATAATAATATTAAAAATATATACAATATAATTACATATATAATAATAACAAACTTTTTAATGGAGATCCTTTTTAACTAAAAATATCTTTATAAATCTGCAATACTTTACAAATCTGCATTTATATATATACATATGTGCCTTTTAAATATGCACCTGTATATATTTTATACTCAAATTTATTATTACCTCTACATTGAAGAAGAATAAAAAAGCAAAAAATAAAAATTTTGTAAAAAAGGGAAATTTAAAGAAGGAAAAAAGGGTATTAAGTCTTTATTTTATGATAACAAAGCAATTTTCACTTTCTTAAGGATAATCTCTAGAATAGTAAAACAAAATACATATATATATATATATATATATATATATATATATATATATATATATATATAATATTTATGTGTAAATAAATGAATGTATACTGTAAATATTAAAATAATACACACTTATTGTAAAAACTACAAAATATTCAAATATTATACATGAAATCTTGTATATTATCTATGATATATATGTATATATATGTATATATATAAACATATGTGATTATAATATAAATACATGTAAAGAGAAGTAAACAACAATAGCATAAAAAAAAAAAACAAAAACAATCCGAAAAACAAAAAAGCTTAAACGGAAATCTCGTATGAATAATTTTTCTTTATTCAACAACAATGTATGGCAAAAAGAAAAAGAGGGAAACTTTTAATGCATTCTTAAAAACAAAGAAGGAAGTAATGAAAAATCAGATGTGGTCAACACATGAACAAAAATATTAAAAACTTTTCAATTAACAGGCTTCGAAAAAATGTTCAAATTTGCTTCTGAATTGATTTTCTGTTTGCGAAATTCATTGACATGCCCTATAAGTTGACCAATCCGATACAATATCCAAAAGAAACTCAAATATAAATTTTTGTAAAAAATTATAGTTTACCGACAGTCACGCTTCTGAAAATAATTGTTCCCCTTACTTTTCCATATTTCTACACTCTGAGAAAAACATTTCTCTCAAAATACTCAATATATAAAATTAATTGATTGTGAAAACAATACTTTCCTAATTGTATGCAATAAAGTTGGTAAGAAAAAGGGAAAAATTCTATTTCAAAAAACAAAAGCAAATTAAAAAAAAGAAACAAGGAAAAAGAACAGTTATATATATATATATATATATAACTGTTATCAAAAAGTGTTAAGAAAACATTAATTTACTTACCTACCATAATGAAGTACATACTCTACATTTTCTAACTACAATTATTACTTGTACTTAAATGTCATTTAAATTTTTTGATATACTTTTGTTATTTCTATTGTTTCAACTATTGATGACATCTTTAGACAAACATACATAATATGTTATGTATCATTTATGAACATGTGTTGGTATGTGTACTATTTCATGATGTTTTTTCCTTAATTTTTTTTTTTTTTTGGTAAAGTGTATATCAATTTTAACATGCACATTGTTTGCATATTGTTTTCGTAATATATTGTATTATACAAGATATAGAGCTGTATAATGGTACATATACTTGGAATGGTGTATTATCAAGTTGATACTTTACTCTGCTATTTTGTATGCATATTGTTATTTGTTTTGAATTTTGCTATTTTTATTAATTCTCGTTGTTACTAAAGTGTTGTTACTACAATATGAGATAGAATTAAAAATAAAGGATAACAAAAAAATATATATATATTTGTATCTATATACTTAAAGTAGTTCTAAAAGTCTATGTTGATTGATGTATCACATATGTATAAGCTATATCTATGCTGTGGTATATATAAGCTATTTGGTAGACTAAATATTATACAAAAAAAATTAATTGAATTTTAACTAACAATGCTCACTACATTTACATATTTAATTCAGTTATTGAAAATAATTTTTCTACAATTATATGAACAAAACAAAAAACTCCAAAAATTCTTAAATTTTCTTATGATATATATGGTGAAAGTGAAAAAATAAAACAAGGGAAAAATTTGATTTTCCCTAAAGCTCAAATGCTCGGTATTCCGAAGGTACATAAAATACAGAATCAAGCAGCATGTATATTTTAAGCCCTTTATAAGGCCTTTCACAAACTGTTTGTTTGAAATTCGTATCTTCTTCAGAATAGATGTTATAATCCAAAAACCTTGAATAAGTAAAAATTTCATGAAAATTCCTTAAAATCTCTGGAACTCGGAAACCCTTGGGATTTGCCACCTAGTAAGGAACAAAAGTTTTACCCATTTTTGGAATACTCAACACTGAAATAACCTTAAAAATTACTTTTATTATAGCTAAAAATCAAAATCTCCTAAAGGTATGCAAAAAATCTTCCATAAATAAGAGAAAAAAATTTTTTTTTTTTTTAAATTTTGCTATTTGCATAATATTTTGAGTAATAAATTACTTTACTAAGTTAATCTACATTCTGAATATTGTAAGGATGTAATTATTAATTCAATATTTCTCTTCAAATATATATTTGTAATTAATTTCATTAGCTATATTATAAATCTGTTTAATTTTATTTAATTTTTTCACATTTTGTATTTTCAGTGCCACCATCTCCTCCAATAATATCCGGTTATGTTGAAGGTTCAATAATACCAGCTGGAACTGTACAAAAATTGTTATGCGTTTCATCTGGCGGAAATCCATTAGCGACATTAACATGGTACAAAAACGACAAGAAAGTAAGTAAACAAAATTTTATTTAACTATTTTAATTATATTTGAATATAAATGGTCAATTAACTCTAATTATATTTCATTGTATCAGTATTCATATAATGATTTCTAATACAAATTTTAATTAGTGAGAACAGTATTTTAATTAGCCTCAGATAATCGGACAGCAATCAATATTTTTGATGAATACGTTATTTAATCCTACTTAAGAAACCATTGATTTCAATGGTGTAATAAATATTATTCAAATTTTTGCATGGAATCATAAAAAGGATATTGTTAATAAGATTTTTCCTAAAGTGGTCAATTAAAAATATGAACTTCGAAATCATTTTGACGTGATAACGTTAATTTTAAATTATGTTCTTGCAACAAAGACCGTAGATAATGCTAATTTAATTTTATATTGGCAATTATTGCATTTTGTTTTTCGTAGGTTTGTAAATTTTTTAAGAAATCTGAGGTGACATTTTGAAATTGCTATTTCCAAATTGCTATTATACCACTTTTAAATTTTTTCTATATTAAGAGTGTTATAAATATAATATTTAAATAAAACTTTTAATTGTATTTGTATATTAAGAGTTTTATATAAATGAAAATTTCTACTTAAAATTGTTAAATTTTAGTCTTTATTCATTCAATTCTTCTTAAGAACTAACAACATATTATTCAAGTTTAAGTTAAGGTTTTTAATTAGAAAAAAATATTATAGGCATAATTATTAATATACCTGCATAAAACAATATGTTAAAGTGAAACCAATAACAATATCAAATAATGTATTAATACAATTAAAAGTAATGTTAATTTAATCATACGATAAAGTGCTTTGATACCCAAGTAGCAAATTAAGGAATTAATTTTTAACACTCCTCCTATCAACGCACTTTACAAATTCATCATTTTAACACAATTTTCATGTTTTAGTCTGTTCAGTCCTTTTGTTAAAACATCTGCAATCATCTCATGAGTTGGTACGTATTTGATTTCGATAAGTTTCTCATCTTGCATTTGTTTACAATAATGGTATTTTATATCAATGTGTTTCGATCTGTTATGATGAGTTGGATTTTTCGAGAGACTTATTGCGCTTTGGTTGTCACAGAATATAATTGTTTTATCTTTACAAAACGGAAGTTTTAAATCGCTAAATAATTTTCTTTGATACATAACTTCTTTAGCAGCTTCGGATAAACCTACATATTCAGCTTCCATTGTCGACAGTGCCACACACTGTTGCTTTCTCGATTTCCAGCAAATTGGAGCGCCACCAAATATGACAACATACCCATAACACGATTTTCGATCACAAACGTCGCCTGCCCAATCTGAGTCTACATAACATTTCAGATCTTCTCCGGTTTTACTATATTTTATTGAATAATCAGGAGTACCTTTAAGATAGCGCAAAACACGTTTGGCAGCATTCCAATGAATTAATGACGGATTACTTGTAAATCGACTGAGCAAATTAACTGCATAAGCTATATCTGGTCGTACTGTATTTGATAGATACGATAATGCCCCAATTAATTCACGATAGGGCTTTTCAATCAATTCCTTGTTTGTAGATTTTGATTGCAATACGTGATTTAAGCTTGTATCTAGCGGTGTTGTTACAGAATTTGCATCTTGCATACCGAATTTTTCCAGAATTTTCTCTATGTATGACTTTTGATGAATTATAATATTTCCTGTTTCATTTTTACGCTCAACTGTAATACCAAGAATATTATTTGTTTCTCCCATATCTTTCATTTCGAATTTTAATGATAAAAGTTTTTTCATCTCATTTACTTTTTCTAAACTGTTTGATGCTACTAACAAATCATCTACATAAATCAAAATAAGAATAATAGAATTGCCATCGTATTTTATAAACAAGCATTGATCAGCACTTGTTTGCAACATATTTAACGAAAGTAAATAGGTACTTAATTTCTTGTGCCATAGTCTTGCGGCTTGCTTTAGTCCATATAGTGGTTTTTGTAGTCTACACACTTTTGAAACATCTCGCTGAATATTTGGTATCTGTGGTAACTCCATATAAATTTCATCATCAAGATCACCTTGAACATAAGCGGTAACCACATCCATCTGATGCAAATAAAGTTCCAGCTCAGCACACAATGCAAATACGGTCCGAATTGTTTCATATCTTGCAACGGGTGAATATACCTCGTTATAATCAATTCCCATTATTTGCTCACAACCTCTGACAACTAGACGCGCTTTATATTTCGGCGAGCCATCTGCATTCTTTTTAACACAATAAACCCATCGATTACCAAGTATTTTTCTATTTTTAGGACGTTCAACTATACGCCAAGTTTTATTTTTCTGTAGTGAATTTAGTTCAGAATCCATAGCTTCAATCCATAAATCTTTATCGTCAGATTTCATTACACTATCGAAGGATGTAATATTTAAAGGATCTGCTAATGCATAGTTTACTTCTTCATAAAGTTTCCGGGGCCTGCCCCTTTGGCCCGTTCTTATTATTTTCGGTCTGCCACATTTTCTTCTATTTTCAACAGAATTCAACTTTTTTATACTTTTCGGTGATTCAAATTTTTCGAATACTTCAATATCTGGTTCAGAATTCGGGGATAAAAATTCCTCATCTATATTTTCATCTATGTCGTGTTCATCATCAGTATTAACATTGTTTTGCTTGTCACAAGTTCCTTTTTGAAGAATTTCACTTTTGCCATTACCAACATCCAGAGGGTCTATCAGGTTTTTTTTTATTTCAGAAATATTTTTTAATTTAAAATCTACTTCACATATGTAATTATTTGGATTAAATATTTCAAAAAATCGTAAATCGCGCCTTTTAATAATAGACTTGCAACCATCCCATAGACGATAACCTTTTGTTTCAGGGCAGTAACCAACAAATGTGTAAATTTGACCTTTCGCATTTAATTTTGACTTATTCGGACCTTTTTCCAGTGCAACCACCCTACAACCAAAAGATCTTAAAAAATTAATATCAGGTACCTTACCAAATAACATTTCAGTTGGAGTTTTTCCAGGTAAAGCACTACAAGGGCTACGATTTCGAATAAAAGCTGCTGTATTTATAGCTTCCGCCCATAGACTTTTTGGTAAATTTGACTGCAACAACATACATCTTGACATATCTAATAAAGTCCGATTTGCACGTTCAGCAATGCCATTCTGTTGTGGTGTATATTCTACTGATAACTGTCTTGAAATTCCTTGGCTGCTTAAATAATCGTTAAAATTCTTTGATAGGTATTCTCGAGCATTGTCTGTGCGAAGAATTTTAATTTTCTTGCCAGTTTTTCGTTCTACAGATTTTTGAAACTTTTTAAATGCTTCGAAAATATCACTTCGATTCTTCAAGAAAGCCACATCAACATAACGTGATTTTTCATCGATAAAAGTTGCAAAGTAACGTGCTCCGCCTAATGATCGTACGCTAAAGGGACCACATATGTCGGAATGTATGATTCCCAATAATTCACTTTCACATTTGCTTGAATTTTTAAATGGTAATTGGGAAATTTTCGCCTTTTCGCATATTACACATCTCAGTTTATTTAATTTCAAATTTTCATCGATACCTTTTACCATATTTTTAACTTTAATTACGTCTTTAAAATTTAAATGACCCATTCTTTGATGCCACTTAACCAAATCATCATTTAAGGATTCATGTGCAAACATTGAACTTATTTTTTCTGCTTCTACAACGTATAAATTATTAATTTTATTTGCAACTAGTACAGAAGTATTATATTTATTTTTAAATGTAGCATATGTATCTTGAAAAATAATTTTTATACCATAACTGACAGCCTTGGAAACAGATATAAGATTATGACGTAATTTTGGTGAATAAATTACATTATGTAAAATAATTTTGTCAGCATTTCCCATTACCTTAAATTCAACTGTACCTGTCCCATAAGCTTCCATTGTATTGTTATCGGCAATATGTATCAAACGACGTTCATATGAAGTCCAACTTACAAATAAATTTTTGTTGTTGCACATGTGTGCACTCGCTCCGCTATCTACATACCAATCGTTTGTATTAGTAACGCTCGTATTATCATGTATAACTGCACTCATTGCTATTCCTTTTGAATGATTTCTATTTTTCTTCTTTTTACATTCACTACTCTTATGGCCATGCTTTTTACAGTAAAAACAGTTACCATTAAATTTGATTTTATCAGAATTATTTTGGCCTTCATTATTTTTGCTAAACACATTTTTGTTACCTGAAACTTTGTTTCTATGCACATTTGAATAAAATGCATTTTGATTACTTTCATATTTTTCACCAGCACAGTCCTCCCTTCTATTTTCTTCGTCAATTAATTTAATTTTCAGCACGTCTAATTTCGGTAGCACGTCTCGACTTTCAATCGCAATACAAAAATTTTCATATTCTTCTGGTAAGGTATTTAATAACATAATAGTAATTAATTCAGAAGGAAGCTCCACACCAACCTCCTCCATTTGATCCACGCTACTTTGAAAATCCCTTAAAAGCTCTGTCATTGTTTGATCTGATTTCTTTTTCATTTGAAACAGCTTTTTGTATAACATGATTTTTCGTGATGGCCCTTTTGAACGATGAACCTGCTCTAACATAACCCAAGCTTCGTTCGAAGTTTTTGCCTTTTTCACATACTGCAATTGATTTTCTTTTAATGCCAATACAATTAAAGCCAATGCCTTTTCATCATATTTATCCCACGTTTGAATGTCATGAAAATTGCTTCCAGATGAACTTTCACCTTTTTCTAGAACAGGACGTATTTCACTTCCACTCACATAACTCCATAAATCATTATATATTAATACGCTGCGCATTTGCAATGCCCACGATTCATAGTTATGGTCATCTAACTTTTCTATATTCGCACTGGAGTTCATTTTATTTTATATATATTTAAATCCGCTTTATTAAACAAATACCCGATAGTATATATTTCTATTACAATAAAAAAGAACAATTATT